TTATGGTTTTTCTAGGGTTGGGGTGCAATCTTACTTTTTCCGCTAAGAGCTGACACTGTCTGCTGGGAGACAGGAGTGCAGTGGCACTAAACACTTTACACACTTCCTGTGCAGGGCTAGACTGGCCTCTCTGCGAGTTTTCCCCTTCACCTCTTGAGTGTGTGGCTGCTACTGATCCTGTTGCCCTTAGGCACTTTTGGTAATTATGGTGAAAGTTATATTTGCAAGAAAAAGAGTGTAGCAATTTAGTGTTTCCAAGGGAAATTGTATCAATTTATAAGGCTGTTAAGTATTTCCAATTAGAGCAAAAACTCTTTGATGACAGAGCCCTAATTTATTTGTCCTTATTTTGACATTCCTAGTGCCAATAGCAATGTCTGGTATTTACTAGGAAATCAATAGTAATCATGTTACTTATTAAACACGGGGATGCTAGTTTGGTTTATAATTTTCCATGGGTTATCTTACGTTCACGATGGCCCTTTGAATTAGATGAAGTTCAACCTAGGGCAGGCATCCTCAAACTACAGCCCATGGGCCACATGCAGCCTGCCTGCTGGGTGTTTTTGCCGCCTCTGCCTGTCCTGCTTAGCAGCCAGCTTGTCCTGGGGCCTGCATTCTGGCTCTCCAATGGTCTGAGGGACAGTGAAGTGGCCCCCTGTTTAAAAAGTTTGAGGACTCCTGCCCTACGGGATTTCGTTCCTGTATATTCTTCTCTAGAACATACATTCTTAACTACTCATTTGATAAATACTTTAAGAATGTTGATTGCATATATAAGAATTGGATTATTTCTTGGGATTGAAGAAGGTCGCTAATTTTTGCATGATGCTTTTCCTTTAAAATATTTTGCTGATTTTGAGCAAATTAAAAAATTTGAATGGCAAAAGGTTTTGACATGTGAGAAAAGTTTATTAGGAGCACATAGGTTAAAACTGTGTCTCTGACTGAACAGAATCCTTTCGGGAGTCCTGAAGACAACTTCAGATAAACATTTGGTTAAAGTTTCAAATATAGGTGCTGTTTTTCGTGAATTTTATAGAGTCTTTGGTGCTCATTGATTTTGACAGAGGCAGCAAAAC